ATGCAAATCGACTGAATGGTGGAATGACTGGTCACTATGATGCATACTGACCTCCAGGGGGCAGATGCTCAATGCAGAAGCTGCCCCTGGTGGTCAGTACTCCCCTACAGGAGGAGTGCTGCTCAGCCAGAAGCCAGGCTCATGGCTGATGAGCTCAGTCCCGCCTCTGTGGCAGCACTAAAATCCCCTCAGGAGATGTCTGACTGCTGGCTTAGGCCCACTCCCGGACTGGCCCTATGTATAGCCCACTATCCACCTGGCCCCATGCATAGCTATTCAAATGCCCTAGCAGGCGGACATCCCCCGAGGGGTCCTGGACTGCGAGAGGGTGCAGGCCAGGCTGAGTGATGCCCACCCCCCCTCTTACCGCCAGTGCATGAATGCTGTGCACTGGGCCTCTAGTATAATCTAATGTATCTGATACAAGATAATATAACATAAAAGTCACCTATAACAAGTAGATCATAGATCTTTCCCATGTTATTGTAGAATAGCCACAATGTTTAAAGGACACACAGTGGTTTGCAGATGCCTCATAACTTTTTTCGATCTTGACCCTCCCTTTTTTTTGGGGGGGGGGGGGGTCACCAGTGCCTGGCCTGAGGGAGAGTGGGGCCGGGATGTGGGACTTCAGGTGAGCCCAGCAGAGCAGCAGCTGTGGCGGGCGATGCTGCCAGAAGGTGACCGTGCTGGGGCCAGGAGGTGGTGGGCACACCAGGGACAGCAGAAGCCCCAGCAGGGACGTTCCCCGAGCCTGCTGTCAGCCGGCCAGAGCCTTCCCAAGCAGCGTTCTGCGCAGTGAGTCAGACTGGGAGGCACAGAATGGAGAGCATGACCTGATACCTCTGCCTCCTTAGGACATGGCGCCCTCTTTGGATCCTTCTGTGTGACATCTGCGCTCAATAAATACCCAGGTGATGATGGATTCAACAAGGCAGCAAGCAGCCAGCGGGAGGCTAAATGGATTTTAATGGCCTGTAAGTCGGTTCAGATCACAGCGACGAGTTGGGAGGGACTCGCTGCCTAGGGGAACTCTCCTGCTGATGCATGAGTTTTTTCAACAAGTTCCCCCGTAGCCACTTGAATGCTTCCCATGACAGGCTGCTCACTGCCTCCCAGGACAGCCCGACTCACTGCCCAGCAGCTCCGCGGGTGACGGGGCTTTCTCAGGGTTGGCCAAGAGCTGTTGCCTGTAAACCCCTGGTTGGTTTTGATCTTGTGTCTGAAGAATCACACAAAAGAAACCGGTTCCTCTCCAGGCTGCACGCCCTGCCTTTGATTCTGGAAAAGCTTAACACCCTCCATGGATGGATGCTGTGCTTTCTTTTCCACTCGTGAATGTTTGTCATTGTTTATGTGCTTATTTCACAAAGGTGTGTCAAGCACTTTCTTTGTGCCAGGGCCTGTGATAGGTGCTGGAGTCACAATGGTAGGTACCAGGTTTCCAGCTGTCACACCAGACAACCACGTAGGAAAGACAGGTGATGATGATGATGATGATGATTGGGATGGAATTCACATAACACACAACTAACCATTTTAGTGTGCAATTCAGTGCATTCATCATCTTGTGCAAGCACCACCTCTCCCGTTTCTTTTTCTTCACTCCAGAGAACACCCTGTACCCATCATGTCATTCCCCATTCCCCTTTTCTATCCATCCATCCATCCACCCACCCACCCACCCAATTATTCATCCATCCATCCATCCATCCACCCACCCACCCACCCACCCACCCAATTATTCATCCATCCATCCATCCATCCACCCACTCACCCACCCAATTATTCATCCATCCATCCATCCATCCACCCACCCACCCACCCAATTATTCATCCATCCATCCATCCATCCATCCATCCACCCACCCACCCACCCAATTATTCATCCATCCATCCATCCATCCATCCATCCACCCACCCACCCACCCAATTATTCATCCATCCATCCATCCATCCACCCACCCACCCACCCAATTATTCATCCATCCATCCATCCATCCATCCACCCACCCACCCACCCAATTATTCATCCATCCATCCATCCATCCATCCACCCACCCACTCACCCAATTATTCATCCATCCATCCATTCATCCATCCACCCACCCAATTATTCATCCATCCATCCATCCATCCATCCACCCACCCACTCACCCAATTATTCATCCATCCATCCATCCATCCATCCATCCACCCACCCACTCACCCAATTATTCATCCATCCATCCATCCACTCATCTATCCATCCACCCATTTATTCATTTGTTCACCTATCCATCCATCCATCCACATCATCATCCCCTGGAAACCTTTAATCTGCTTTCTATCTCTATGGGTTTACATATTCTGGACTTTCCATATAACATGCAATATGTGACCTTTTGTGTCTGGCTTCTTTCACTGAGCATAATGTTTTCAAGGTTCATCCATGTTGTAGCATGTGTCAGAATTTCATTCCTTCTTAAAGCTGAATAATATTTCATTATATGAATATACAACATTGTGGTTACCCATTAATCCACTGATGGACAGTAGGGTCCCGTCAAATTTCATCAAATTTCTGTGTGAATGTATGTTTTCATTTCTCTTGGATGTGTACCTAGGAGTGGGTTTCTAGGTCGAACTTTCTGAGGAACTATTAAACTGCTCTCACAGTGACCACCATTTTAAGCTCTTGCCAGCAAGACACAAAGGTACCAATTTCTCCACATCCCAGCCAATACCCCTTCTTTCCTCCCTCCCTTCCTTTTTTTTGATTATAGCTAGCCTAGTGGATGTGAGGTGGTATCTCATGGCAGGTTTAATTTTTCATTTCCTTAATGAATATCTTTTCATGTGTTTATTGGGCATTTGTATCATCTTTGGAGAAATGTCTGTTCAAGTCCTTTGCCTATTTTTAAGTTGGGTTGTGTGATAGTTAATTTAATGTGTCAACTTGACTAGACCATGAGGTGCCCAGATATTTGGCCAAACATTATTCTGGGTGTTTCTGGGGTGGAGGGGGTGGGGTGGTATTTTTGGATGAGCATAACGTTTACATCAGCAGACTGAGCAAAGCAGATTGCTTTGCTGCCTGGGTGAGGAAGTGTTTTCACTTGGATTAGCTGTGTGATTTGGGAATGTTACCTAACCACTCTGAACCTTCGTTTCCTTCCCCTGTGAAATAGAGATGGTTCTCTTCCTTGGAGGGCAGGTGTGAATTAAGAGGAGGTATTACTAAGCATCTGGCACTCTGGCACGTAGTAGGTGCTTTAAGGAGGAAGAGGCAGATTGGGAAGGCAGCTCTGTTCAGCAAGCCCATGGCATCAAGAGGAGAGACTCCCCAGCTCCAACTGTTCTCTTCCAGCCCCCCCCCCCCCCCCCGCTTCCCAATCCATCCTTGACCGCCCTCACACCCTCTTTCCTCACCTACCTGCATCCTCTCCTTGCTCCAGGACATCTGATCCATCATCCCGCTCTCTGCCCACATGCTGACTGTCCACTCTTATCAAAGCCACTCAGGAGCCAATTTGCGGCTCTTCCTCCCGGCCCAGCTCCCTCCCTACCCGCTCCCAGCCTCCCCAGACAGAAGGGGGCTGAGATAATGAATGAGGCTCCTCTGCCCATAACAACGAAGACAGTAGACTGTTTGGCTGATGAGCAAACTAAGAGGGAGTGTGTGGAGGGTGAGGGTGAGGTGCTGGGTGGATGGCGGAGGGAGGAGGCCGTGGATGGCGGATGGGGGAGGTGGTGGATTCTGAGTCTGGTGACTGGGGCCTGCAGAGTGGATGCAGAGTCTCAGGATGAGGTGTGGGGGAGGGCGGATGGAAAGCAGGGAAGTGGGGTCTAGTCCCTGCTCTGCTCTCATTTCTTTGTGGCCACAAACTTTCTCCACAGATGGCACCTCACAAAATGGCCCCCCTCCCTGTCCGTGACTGGTTCAGGGCGGGACACAGGCTCTGGAGGTGGCTGCCGAGTTAGGGGCCTGGCTCCACCACTTACTCGGGGTGTGATCTCGGGCAAACATTTCACTTCTCTGGGCCCAAGATTTCTCATGTAAAAAACAGAGATAATGGTAGGGCTGCAGCAAAGATAGAACCACGGGATGGCTCAGCTCAGCTCAGAGCTCAGTGAGCATTGGCAGGGGCATAAACGAGGCTGCTGAAGGAGGGAATGGGAACAAGACCTCTGAAGGAGTGAATGGGGACTTCACTGTTTTTTGTTTGTTTGTTTGTTTATCTGGCTCTGCTGGAGCTGCTCAGGGGATCTTGCCATCATCAGAGAATCCAGCACCGAGGGCAGCCGTGCCCAGAGATGGGGCAGGAAGCCCTTAATTCTGATGATTTCACGTGAGTCTCTGGATCCAGCTGGTCCTAAAGACCTGCCCCTGGACTATTTAGGCATATAGCCAATCAGGTCTTTGTTTTCTCTCCTTCTTTCACTTAAGTTATTCAGAGTTGGGTTTCTGTCATTTGTAACAAAAAGAGTTTTAATGGGTATCCATCCGTCCATCCGCCCATCCATCCATCCATCCATCCATCAACTCACAAGTCCTAGCTGTGTGGACTTAGACACATTCCTTCCTAAGGATCTGTAAAATGGGAGTCTCACCACCTCCCTAGGGGGTGGTTTCAAGGGTTAATGGGCAACCCACGTGGAATGCCGTGCTCAGCAACAGGTGCAGAGGAGAGGCTCAGTAGAGTTCTCTTTCACCCCATCTTTTCTGTCCAAAGCCTGCCCCACCCCTGCACAGGTGAGCCTAGGGAGCCAAGGACACACTCCCGCCCTCGCCCCCGCTCCCGCCGCCTTGTCCAGGATCCTTTCAAACAGCAGAATCCAATTGGTGCAGTCTTTATTATTTCTCGAGCATTTTCCAGAAGAAAGGTGTCATGTGAGGGCCGAAGGAGGACAGGGGGGAGTAAAAAATAACATAAACAAACTGAACAGCAACAGAGGAGAGCAGCGGGAGGGGCGGAGGTTGAGGGTCGGGGGTAGAGAGGCGGGGCAGCCAGAGCCTTTTAACTTTCAGCCACCAGAGTGGAGAATTCTGCAAAATAAAATGACAAACAGGTGAGTCAGAGGTGGGCAGAGCAGAGAGACTGGCCATGACTCAGCCCAACAGCTGGGCCCCCTGCAGGCCTTTCTCGGTTCTCATATCTGCTGCAGACCTGGCGTGATGGGATGAGGGGTGTGGGAAGGAAGGAAGGAAGGCAGGAGGGAAATGGTGAACCTACTGTGTCTTTCACTTCATGATGCCATGGAGCTGACAAATTATTAGTAAAGACAAAAATAATAGCAATGGTGATTTTCTGAATGCTTATCACATGCCAGTCACTATTTTAAGCACTTTATATACAACTAGAGGCCCATTGCACAAAGATTCATACAATAGGCCTTCCTTCCCCTGGCTGCCAGCACCGGTTTTCCTCTGGCACCTGGGACCCAGGCCTTTGCTCTGGGAGCTGCCTTCCATCTTTGATCCCACCAGAGTTTTCATTCCAGCCAGAGCCTTCAGTGTTAGCTCTGGCCCAAGCCTTCAATGTCTGTTCTGGCCGGAAAGCTGCTCCTGTAGCTCCCTTTACCCCCCCCCCCCCCCCCCCGCCTTCCCCCTCATAGCAGGTGTCCTGCCCCACCCGGCCACTCTGTGCCTGCATATGCAAATTAACTTCCAACTTTGTTGGGTTAATTTGCATATAACTCCTGATTGGCTGGTGGATGTCATGGAGATACAGTCAATTTGCATGTTTCTCTTTTATTAGTGTAGATATCTCATTTGACTCTGACACTAATCCTGGGATGTGCATTGTATCATTATTCCCATTCTACAGGTGAGGAAACCCAGGCTCAGAGTCCACCATTTTTACCAGGAAGAAGCAGAGCCAGGCTTCAGGCTCAGGTGTGTATGCCTTCGACTCAGCCCTTCCTTGGCCACTCATCTAGTTACTTGTTAGAGGGTGATTCCGGTGAACAGCCAGATTCAAGAACCTCTTCCTCAGGAGGGACCTGAGCACGGGACAAGGCACAGCTCAGAGGAGTGAGCACAGCAGCTGCTCAGAATAAGCTGAGCTCTGTCTCCCACAGCTCCTCACTCAACACCACAAGCCCTCAGGAGACTGGGAGGGATCACCCCATTTCACAGAAGGAAGAACTGAGGCCCAGAGAGGAGAAGTGACTTTGCAGAGCCTCCAGGGGAGGGGAGGCCCAGGGGAAATATGGTCTCTGCTCCCCGGGAGCTTCTTGTCTAGTCGGAAGAAAGACAACGTCTGGCAGAAAGTTCTCCAAGCTGCTGGCCTCTCTGTGAGTCTCAAACACACTGAGGGGGTTGTCACCTCAGGACCTTTGCACCTGCAGCTCGCCCACCTGGTACGCTCACCGGACTCCCTCAGGGCTGGCTCCCTCTCACCCACCTGCTCTCCTCCCACACAGCTCTCCTCAGGGGCCTTCTCTGTCACTCGGGTGAAAGCAGCGATGCTCCTAGCTAGCACCGCCTTCTGTTACATCCACAGCACCTACGTGCTGTAAGTGCTTTGGAGTATCGCTTACACATTCCATTGTTGCCTAACTCCCCGACTGGAACCCCACTGGCCTTGCTTACGGCTCATCCTACCCTGGGCTCTGGGCCTGACCCAGAGGGGCCACGTGTGTCTGTGAAAGGCTGAGAGGCGCGAGGACCTCACTGCCTCAGGGGACGAGGACCATCTATCTTTGCAGCAGCAGAACCTCCTGAGGGAAGGGGCTCTGATCGAGTCCTGTAAGCAGATGCAGGGTCCCATGGGGAAAGCAGGTGGAGGGGAAGGGATCTCAGGTGGGGCTTAGAGGGAGGAAACCAGGGGTGCATTGGGACAACCTAGCAGCCTGCCTGGGCTGCACTGTGGCTCTGTCGCTGATGGGCGGTGTGACTTGGTCTCTAGCCTCATCGTCATGGCCGGCTCGGAGGAGTCAGGAGAGACGGGAGGTGCTCAGGGGTCCTCGGCTCCCCCCTGAGCCTCCTGCCCTGTGTTCCACGTCCTTGCAGGTGTGGGGTCCTCGCTGTGGTGGTCAAAGGGGGGTCTGAGATCTTTATTTGACACCAGAGGTCCCATGCACGGAATTCGTGCAAGGGGCTGAGCCCTCGCAGACCCAGTTTCGTCCAGAAGGACGTTTGGAAGGTCGTTCGGCTGTCCAGTCTAATGAGCATATGATGCTCTTTTTGTTATAGATCAGGGGTCCAGGGAGCCTCTTCCCTGTGGTTTTTCTCCCCGGGAGACAAGAGAACCAGGAGTGCCACCCCTCCCACACATCTGTGTGGCTCTGAGATGCCATGCCCCCAGCCTGCCAGAGACTGGGGCCCCAGGGAAGCCCCGTCGCCTCTAGAAAGAGCAGTGTCCTGAGTGGGGACCGCATGGGTGGGGTGAAGAGCGAGGAGGCCCTGTGTGCTAGGAAGCGGACTGTCTGGGCGTCAGGCCTCCCCACCCCCCATTTGTCATGGTCACTGGAGGGAGGGGCAGGGACAATTCCTTGTGAGAGACGAGGAAAAATGGGTGGCAAGCGGCTTCAGAGAGGCAGGCAGAAAGCTTTGGGGCTCCCTGGAGGCTTGTCTTGCCCTCAGACTCTGGGCCACACGCATGCCCGACTCCTTCCTCGTCACCCTGACCCATGGTTAGTCAAAGGCTGGCGCTGGGGCCCGGGTGAGAGTGACGGAACCCCGTCCTGTGTTTGCAGCTTCTCTGAAAGCGGAGTCATTTCCAGGTCAAAAGGGGAAAACAAAAAAGCAGCCAGGCCAGCACGTGCTGTCGTCATGGAAATCACCTGGCACGGACCCCTGCCAGGCGGCAGGACCTGGGCCTCCCCTTCCCGGGTCCGACCTGGGAAATGGAGCCGCCCCTTCTGTCCCGGGCTGTCACTGAGGACGGAGAGGCAGTGCCCGGAGGTGGGGGCCTGAGTGTCGCCTCAAGGGGGGGAGTGGGCAGGTCGTCCAGTCGGTCCCGACATGCCCCAGGGCCACGGGCTGGACAGAACCCAACACCAAACCCTACAAACCCCCCCACCGGCCAGGTGTCCCCGCATTTGCTTTCTCGGCATGAGCTCCTACAGGGGGCTCTTCGGAGATGTCTTCTGTCGTTAGCACTTTGCTTGGCATTGTTCATTGTATAGAATTTAAAATTCTTACTTAACGCCTATGTGGGGAGGGTTTTGCGTATGTTATCTTATGACATTCCCACCCCTGCCCCATGGAGGGAGGCTTTTGCCTGCATTTTACAGACGGGGAAACGGAGGCCCAAGGGTGAAGTAGCTGGACCAAGGTCACACAGTGAACTTGATTCAGGCTGCGCTCCGAGGCTTCCCTCTTTACCCCAGAGGTTCTGACCTAGAGTGACACCTGAGCCGGCTCAGATGCGGCCACCCTCCTTCTCCCCCCCCCCCCCCCCCAATTCTGTCCTATTGGCCCTTTTTTATTTGCCTCTTATACTGAGCACTTTCTGGGATGATCTTATTGATGCTCTTACTTAGCTAACCGGTCTCCTCCTACTGGCGTGTACAGTCCACGAGGCAGGGAGCCCTGTCTTGTTCAGCACCCCCCCACACTCCCCCCCCCAAGCAATAGAACAATCTGGCACATGGCAGGTGCCAGTACACCAATGCCAAATGGATAGACTGATGAGGGGAGGGAGGGATGGAGGGAGAGATGGAAGGAGGAAGGGAAAGAGGGAGGAAGGGAGGAAGAGAAGGAGGGAGGAATGGAGGGAGTGAGGGAGGGATTAGGGATGGATGGAGGGAGTGAGGGAGGGAGGAAGGAAAGGAGTGAGTGAGGGAGGGATTAGGGATGGAGGGAGGGAAGGATGGAGGGAAAGAGGGATGGAGGAAGGGAAGGATGGAGAGATGGCTCCTTAGGGATCAACAAGTACTGACTTGGGGTATTCTCGCTGAGGCCCAGGAGGTAAGCAGGATGGTGCCCATTTTGCAGATGGGAAGGGAGGTCTGAAAAGCAGGGTGTCTGGGTCATGAGGAAAGTAAGAGGCAGCACTTGCCTATGATGTCAGGAGCATCCCGACAGGAGTGTGGGGAGGCCGTCCCTGAGGGGAGGGGAAGCACGTCTCTCGGCTTGGACCTGCCACTGAACCTGGAACACGGGCGCTAGCAGTGCCTCCTGTCCTTGGCCCTGAGCCGCTCTGTCCTGGGACAGAGGAGACATAAACACCAGCACGGCCTATCTGACCCTCACCTGGTCTCACCTGGAAATGCCAGGTTCTCAGCTGTGAGTCAGTGGAGCCATTCATCGCCCTCACCTGACAGTACTCAGAGCATCAGAGTGAAGGGGGCCCAGGAACGCCAGCCCAGAGCTCGGGGGGCGGGGAAGTCAGGCACTTTGGAGTCTGACTGTGGGCGCCAGTTTGGCCCCTTGGGGTGTTTAGGAGCCTCTGAGAACACACCCCTCTGCCCACCGGGATCCACCCCGAAGAGCCAGGACATCACAGTGGCCAGCGCCTGGCTCTCTGTGGAGAGAGCACAGGACTCGGACTGTCCTCCCCGCTCGGAGAGGCACTTCGCAGGCAAACGGGGGGCAGGGTCACCTCTGCGCAGCCAGGAGCAGCATGCCTCCCGGAAAAGGTCCCCTCGACAGGGGCGTGTCCCTCAGAAAGAACCGCGGCGAACACAGACCCCCGGAGTCTCGGTCACTGGCTTGGCAGCAGGACACTGGTTTGGGGAACAGTGTCAGAGCACGGGGTCCGGCCTTGGCTCGGCCACCACTCATGTCCCTGGACAAGGCCCCTCCCCCTCCAGGTCTTGGTTCTGTGGGTCCACTCACCCGCAGCGTTTGGAGCAGGGGAACTAGGAGCCAACGCCCCGCCCCCACTTCCTGTTTCCGTGACCCTGGACCAGACACCTGAGGTCACTGTGCCTCTGCTTCCCCGTCTGTAGAGTGGTGCGCCCTGGTTGCCAGAGGAACCGGCAGAGATGCTCTCGCCGCAGGCCTGCTCCATGCCAGCGCCCAGCACCCAGCAGCAGAAGTTACCGAGATGCTTCACAGCTCCAGCCACTCAGAACCAGCCTCTGCTGCCTGGCTGC